AAACATACAGTTTAACTAACATTTAAAAAAATCAAATAAACATACAGCGTAGCAAAATCAGTTCTCAGTTAGAATATCACAGATGTGTCCCAAATAAAACCCTTAAAAACTCCCCATTGGACTTCAAGAACTCTTGAGGATGATCAGAGCCATAACAGCCCACCTACATCGCCCCATTAGACCGGGATCCGAACACAAAACAACACTCCTCCTCTCTCAACAACTTCAGCCGATGCACAAACAAAAGCCAAGCGTAGCCGGACACCACATCGACCGCATGTATCGATCAGCGTCATAATTCCCAGCAGCCCAATAATAACTCTCATAAATAGCATCTCCGCCCAAAAGTTTCTCTCTCGCGGACCTGAAGTGCATCTAGAGATCACCGTGAGCGCGGAGGGCAGACTCACCGTGTGTACTCCACCTCAAACGGTCTCAGGGTGAACTCATCCCTCAGAGACTGGATCCAAGACATCAGCTCTGGTAGTGGACTAATGATTGGATTACTTGTCTCGGTCCTGCCCTGCGTCCGCTGCTCCACGGCGCTGCGTTCAGAGGCGCCTCGGAATGCTCTGAATCCTACCGCGACGAGCTGATGATCAGGAGTATTTACAAAAAAAGAGTGCAAATAAAAATAATATGAAGTAAAGTGTAAGTAGATTTTAAAACATGGCTCAGCTTTAAAATACGTTCTGGGACACAATTATTTTAATGTAGCGTTTGTGACACGAAAGTATGTTATCTGATATTACAAATGCTCTATTTCTCAGAGGTGTGCTTCAGTTGTGACACTGAACTAATAAATGGTGTTTGGAAGATTGAAATGTGATCACACATTTAATATGTGAGAGATGCACTGAAATTCAGATTTGTTTTACTTGTAAACCAGGAATTTACACAACTTCCCATGACATTGTAAGTTAACTCGAACCCTTAAAAAGTTGTAGCTTCTTCGGCTTTAACAGACCACTAAAGCGTCCCTGACATGGTGCCTGCATGGATATAATGAGGCTCTTATTGTATTTCTTACAGTTTTGGGTGCTGTTAATTAGTTTACATTTTTACGAGGAACACGTGAATGCAACTTAAGCACATAGCAGAGCATCTGGCCAACTGACCTCTGAGGAGATAAGAAAATCATGTCCGCTGCTAGAAATCTCCTTAATAACAAACAATATAACCATGTGTCAACTGTGAACCTCTCTGTGCCCGAACTAACTACTGAAAACTGAAAAGCAGCTCTCACTGTTGATTCGTTTCCAGACTGCATCGTCTTTACTTGAGGCGCATGCAGCAGTAGGAGAACCTCCGACAGTGTGTTTGATCAATCCAACTAAACATAGTACTTCGGCTCCAGATGTTTGCAAAGTGACTCAGGTTAAATATAGTGTGGTGGAGAAATGATAACCTTTTGTTGACATGACCTGCAGAACTATAACGTGCTGTTTGTTCTCTTTTAGTAAAGAAAAGGGAAACTAAGGGAACTAAGGGTTAATTAGTTACCAAGACTGGAGTTTGTTTTTTGTGTTAAGTTTCAATGAAAAAGTTGGAATCTTTTGGGATTATTGCTGCCATCTAGTGTTGCAGTTGTCACATTATTTTGACATCAAATTTGGTAGTTTGAATTGCCTCGGTGTTTGAAAGGTGACGTATAAAAGTCCTCGGCCACTTTACTTCACCACCATGACATGTGATGAAATACAAGTGTCCACTTCAGAAAACTCAACGATAGTGATTTTAAATGTCGTCTCAGGCAGTTGAACCTGTCTCAAATATTACAAAACAAGTGACAACATCAAGAGTAGAAAAAAATGACTCTTTAATTCAGTCAGCAACATTCAGTTAACATGTAGAAAACATATGAAAGACATTTAAAACAGAGACTTTGTCTTTAAATCCTTTAGTCAACGGGTTGACTCATGTCACGTCAGGAATAGTATGAAATCCACCTTGCTGAGGAATCACTCAAACATGCACAAATGATGTATCAAAAAAAAAAAAAAAACACAAAAAAAGGATTCTCCACACAGTTTGGATGGGTGGAACAAGTGTCTGACGGTAAATCACAGCCTCTCCGCCTCCTTGAACTTGCCGAGCAGTCCGTCGTCTGCCCTCAGGGGGAAGTACAGGGTCCGGGTTTTGTAGTACCGGGGGTCGGACTGGAGGTTTTGGATGACGTCCGCGAGGAGGTGGGCCCGCTCCACGCCGCAGCCCGGCGCCTCGTAGCCCAGCTTGGTGAAGTGGACGTGGAGGTGGTAGTAGGACGGCTGGTAGTGCAGGTAGACTCTCAGCTTACTGGCTGGAAGCTTGTAGCGCTGCAGGACGGCCTCCTAGATCACAAGGAAAGGGGCGTTCGAATATGCACACTGCTGTCTGTTTTCTCTCTAATCATTAACAGCTATGTCTGGTCCTAGCGCTCTAAAATAGAAAGTGTAATGGCAGCGGCTGGAAGAAGAGGACGTTTCCTGCTTGTTTTTCTTCCTCACCTTTCCTTTCTGGAAGACGTTCTGCAGCAGCGGTAGATGCTCTGGCGTCAGGTCTCTGAGACTCCTGATGTCTCTCTGCTGTGCGATGGCGATCAGATATAAATCATCCACCTGATAGAAGAAGACAAGATATTGTTAAACTGCATCGTCCATTAGGACTTACTTTACAGAGTTGACATGAAGTTATTTCTCACTCCAGGAGAAAAAGGCTGTAGTCCTGAGAATATAAATGTCATGGCTGACATTTATTCCACCTCATGTCCTCCCTGGTACCTAACTTCCTGTTAGCTCACCTGTTTCTGGTCCCATTTGAAATCTGGGAGGAGGACAAAGCCAACTTTTGGGTCAGGATCTTCAAAGACTATCCTCTCAACCTCGGCCTTCTTCTCCAGGATGTTGTGGACCCACTAGAGGGGGGGGCAGGGGGCAGTCGACATGTTGATGTTGTACATTCACACGTGTGCATTATGATGCCAATGTAAGCCCGCTACTGATGCGCTACAGGAGGAGGTTTCAGGATGCTGACCTGCACGCTGAAACTCTGCTTCTGAATGTAGGGCAAAGTGATGGACTGATAGTCCTCCCCCGTCTCCTCCACCAGGAAACTCTCCTGCCGCTGGTATTTCTTTACGTGCTTCTCCGTGGCCGGACACACGACTGTAGTCTTGATCTCTGCAAAACAGAAACACACAAGCTATCAACCTTGGGTCTAGCTGATATCTCGAGTCAGTTTATTTCCTTTCCTCATTCTGACCGTACCATTGAGTTGAGGGGGAGCCTGCAACCGATATGTGCTGTAGATGTCGTTCCTCATCTCCAGCTTCAGCCTGGAGCCGCTGAAGAGCTCAGCCAGGGAGTCCTCTCTGATGGGAGTCTTCTCCAGGATGACCACAGCCTCCTGACCGGCAAGCTGGAGAAGACACGTTCAACGGTTTCATTTCTGCCTGCGCTGGTCATGAGACTCGTTATCCCCTCCGAATAGAATAAAGGCAAAACGGCCCCTCATGTCGTTCTCATACTCATTTCTGTGAAATCCATTTTTACAATAAATCACTGTCGCACAGACTATTATTTTGAAATATCGAACCGGAAGTCAATGTTCCACCTTTCCTTCACGAAACTACTCAGACCTTTCAATTAATACAACACTAAAAACATTTTCCTCTTAAGTTACCAACAATTGCTCTCAACATTATAACCACAGCTAGAGTTAGTTAGTTCGCTGAGCTACTTCTTACAGCTAACAGCAGCCTTCAGGTTACCTTTCCGCGGATGAAGATGTTTTTCTCCCGCGCAGAATCACTCAACACGGCGGACGTTTTAAACTCAGACAGAATATTTTCACATTCAGGATCCTTTCCAGCTCCTCCGCCTCCATTCTCATTGTCAGCTTTCGCCCTCTTGACTCTCTGAGCTAATTCATCGGTTCCTGCACTGTCCGCTTCACGTTTAGCCGCGCTGTCAGCCATGTTTTGTGTTGCTGCCTTTGTAGCCAAAGATCGTCTATGTGTAGGAAGATAACGTACTCATCACCTCAAATTCACTCAGCAAACCTAGACCGAGCCTCATGCATGCGCTCTCCTCTTAGCTCGTGGCAGTGTTTGAAGATCAGAAAGTTTTTTCCCCATTGTAAAATATTTCTTGGAATTATTGGAAATATTGTTCTTCAATATAGAGTCATAGGCGTTGATAGTTTCCCGATACCGTCACTTTACCTTTATAAACTTTAATGACTGTTTTACAATACTGTTGTAAAGTGTATACACCTTTTTATATTTATTCATTTTCATTATGCACATACATTCACTACATCCCTGTTTATGTTCCATTTATTTATTTGTAATACTGCCCACCACCAATTTATATTAGGTCTACTTTATTTTATATGTTATGTTTAAGATTTCAGCCCTATTTATTGTCTTAGATTCTCATTTTGCTTTTGCTTATGTGATTTCCTTTTATAAAAATACATATTTAAAGAGCATTGTTGCAGGAGCATGAGATCCAAGATGTCCAATGCCTCAACGACTGCCTCTCCGTAATTGTTGTGCATGTGGAAACAAAGAACTTGAACTTGATACCATGAATCTGTCAACTGTTTATTTTTGTTTACTGTTTGTTTAGTCCTTAAACTTAGAATTACCTAAATAACGTTTCAGCCGTAATATTAGGGATCTTGTTACAATTGCAACTCCAATTGCTGCAGAGTGAGACCTCTCTTTATTTAACATCTCTTAGCTACAGCAACGTCAAGTTAGACAACAAATACACACACAAGACACCTGTGTGGCATTAAAGATGATTGACACATCTTTTAACTAATACGATTAGCGCTGTGGGGCGGGGCCACTGCTGAGTGACCAATGAAAACATTTCACTCAGGGGCGACGCGATAATCAGGAAGTTATTTAAAGACGACAGCGACACAGTCAATTGTTTGGCTACCAGACAGTGTGGAGGACGGAAGCAGCAGCAGAGAGGATGCGAGGTTAACTTTGCAAAAGTAAACTGTATCTGAAGTTTATTGTGTCGTTAGTCTTCTCTGACAAATCAAAATGTTCACTTGTCTCCGAGTATGTCTTCTCCTCCTGGCCCTCCACACACTGGCTGTTGTTGCAAGTAGAGGTAACGTGAGAGTTTGTACTAATACACTGTTGGATAGCAAAACTTGTACAAATACCACACAGGCATTAAGATGACTAAAGACCGGTTGTCTTATCATTTATTTTAGTGATATGTTCGGCTGTCAGCTCCTCTGAACAGTACATCGCAGTAACCAGCTCCCATTAGCGGTTAATGAGTGTTTGTTGTGTTTACTTAGTGGCTGCAGCCAAGCTGACGTTAATTAAGTTTACTCATTGAATGGTGCTTTGTTCGTGAGGTTTACTTGTACCGTCTGGCTGATTGAGTTTGGAACTTGAAAGTTTCTGTTCAGCTTTTATCTGTTTATGTATCGGTAGCTTTAACGTTAGCTACTAGTTGCTGTTTTCACGTGTTTAACAGCACCTAGTTTCAGCTTTTTGATCATTTCATCCTTACTTGCTATTGAGCTTTCCTTTGCAGCAATCTGCCTGAACCCTTTACTTAATAGGTTCATTTAAAAGTGAAAAAAAAACATGAATTAATTGTGTGTGTGTGTGTGTGTGTGTGTGAGATCTGTCAGAGAGGAAGAATGTCCTCCTCATCATGGCGGATGATTTGCGGACGTCCTTGGGCTGCTACGGAGACTCTGTGGCAAAATCTCCAAACATTGACCAGCTGGCATCCAAAAGCCAAGTTTTTCTCAATGCATATGCACAGGTCAGTGGGTGTTGTATACGTTAATAATAATAACCTCATGGGGAAACATTAAAGGTGGCATTTCCTCTCCCAGCAAGCCGTGTGCGCTCCCAGCCGTACGTCCATGTTAACCAGCCGCAGACCTGACACCACCAGGCTGTACGACTTCAACTCCTACTGGAGAACCCATTCTGGAAACTACACCACCCTGCCACAGTACTTCAAATCCAGAGGGTACTTCACCGCATCTGTGGGCAAGGTATTTCATCCAGGTGAGATTAATTACATACATTTTTAAATAGAAACTCAAGTGTATGCTGGACAGCAGCAAATTTAGGAAGTGATACAGAGGTCCTTGCTGAGTGGTTACCAATGAAACTGCAGTAAGAAGCACAGAACTCGATCTGCATGACTTTGTTGTTTACTTGTTACATTTCTGAGTCTCTATAATTGTATAGAAGTAACTTTGTATTTTCTTTAGGTATTGCCTCTAACCACTCCGATGACTACCCCTACAGCTGGTCCACCCCTGCCTACCACCCACCTTCATTTAGATACGAGAAAGAAAAGGTGTGTGATGGAAAAGTCAAATTATATCTCGCACACATACAGGAAAATGTATTTAATGTTTTCCTTTTTAATGGTCACACTCGGCTATTACTTTCCTATGGAGAACAAGTATCCGCTTTGTTAAAGTATCTTTGTTTCTCTATGTTCCGTTAGTGAAAGACACTGAACAATAAAACCCTTTTTATTCCAGATGTGTAAAGGAGAGGATGGTAAACTCCACGCCAACTTGCTGTGTGCGGTGGACGTGTCGGAGCAGCCCGGGGGAACCCTGCCCGACCTGGAGAGCACCGAGGAGGCAGTGAGGTTACTGAAGAGTCGGGCCGACGACGGCGACAACGTTCCTTTCTTCTTGGCTGTGGGCTTTCACAAACCACACATTCCCTTCAGGATACCTCAGGTACGTGACCTTTCTTGTAAAGTTTTTATTGAAAGAACAGATGGGGATTGACTTACAGTGCAATGGCAATATGTTGGATATATAATAGATTTTTCTGTTCATTCAAGAGAACATATTTAAAAGAGAAAAATAGACGCATGTACAGAGGAAAAATAGTGAAAATTATATATTAAAGAAAAAAAAAAAACTTGTGCATATTATTTTGCACATAGAGTGAAAGTGAACACATCAGTGATGAACTGCAGTGAAAATACAGCATCAAATCCCCCCCCCCATCCACAGGTTCTTAATATGAATGCCTGTAAGACCCTATTATGACGTACATAATGGGTAGATAATGAGTAAATCAACAGTTTTATTGTGAAAACCAGTAATGATATAGGTTGCAGGTTCCTGTCTCAGGCTTCAGTCCAGTCAGTCGATGCTGACTGGTTTTAAAAGGCTCAGGAGGTTTTAACCTTCACAACTAGTTTCATAGTGACGCCTTGATCTACCAAAATAACTACAAATATTAGAACCAAGGACGTATGACTTCAATACGCATACATTTAGTGTTTAGAATACAGAGAAGTGACACTTCTTTTATGTTTGTTGTGTATAAATGTCAGTGTGTGTCCTATTATATAGGAAGCATGATGTGATTTGATGATTCAAGCAGTTTTTGTGATACTGATGCCTTTAAAGTTGACTCCTCCTTAAATGGATCAGTTCCAGCACCTGTTGATGTGGAACATTCATTGTGATTGTGTTTAGTGGCTGGAAGAAGTTCATCTGTTAACACAGCTGTGGAAGTGCTTGATCACAGCAGCAGCAGTGGTGTAATCTTTTCATTTGCACGGCTCATTGCAGTGCAGCGCTAAAGAGCAGTGTGTGGCAGATCTTAGTCAGCTGATCATGTGCTGGAGGTGTGTAAACGGCTCTCTGCATGCTCGGTGGGGCCGTAACTGTTCACCGTCTTTTTAAATGCTGTCTGCTACACTTTGGTCATCCTAAAACACACGTATAACCATTTCATGACTCTGATTGTGACCTGATGAACTTCTATTGATTACTGTGAATGAGCTGTTGACCAGCGTCGGTGCTCATGCGCGTCTAATGGAAGCTACGCGACTTGATGGTGCTGTGAAGAGCCGTTGTGAACCTTGACTGATGAGTTGCAGACTATAGCTTATAGTCTTATCTGATAACAATATACTGGCAGGTATTTATTATATAGCATTTAACATATTCAATCATCTTCAGAAGGGTTTCCTTAAATACTTATTTTTATAATAAATATGTATTTAGCCTGACATACAGTTGAATAATAAACCTGTGACTGTCTGGTGGACAAATTATGTAATTGACAGTTTCTAAATGAGCTAAAGCATTTTATTTGTCATCTGACGTGTCGTGATCTATCTGCATTATCTCTGATCAGTCTAGCTATATGTAAAGCCCATGGACTGAAGGTGAAATATTCTTTCTGTAATGCTCATTCACTCACTGGCGTGCGTTATAGGAGTCTATTATTCCCTGGAGCCTGAGCCTGAGTGGGAAAGTGCAAGTCATTGTCCTGCTGCGAGAGGCAGTGTTGTTGTGGACAAAGACTCGTCTCTTGCACGACTGTGATTTTCCAGAGACAAAAGTCTGAGCGTATATAAAGCCAGAACATGAGGATGAATGATGGTGTCAACATAGAGGGGCGAGAGTGAGAGACAAGTGCCATAAAGAACACTGTTGAGCCTCGGTGATAAAGGGAGCACAGCTTAAGTTCCCACAGAACTCAATACTCTGAGTCAGTAGACGACTGCAGCGTCGGAGCTCATGCAAGATCATTTTAATCCAAACTTCCTCTTCAGATCAGCCACATTAAAGCACACAGTAAACGCTCCTAACTCCAGATAACTGTGTAAATGACCAGCATAACCATGCTGGACGCATATTCATGAGAATTGTAAAAAGCATAATTAATGCCATATGAGGCTACGCCTCCTGCCCCATATGTCCTATATTCAAGTCCTGCTTCTGGAGATTCATAAAGGAAAGTATCACTTTTAAAAGCAGCTGCAGTTGAATTAAGGGATCTGTTGAAGACGAGGAAACGTAACGCATGCTGTTACTGCCGTGTCCCCTGAGAGTCACACTGTCACTGAAATAAAGACCAAACTACTCGCCACAGCAAGAGGGTTTCAAATGTATAAAGCCGTATAACAGTTTAACTTCATGGTGATGCTATTAGACTGTTATAAAGTTAGGCTTGTATTGGCCTATAATACGAATACAGAGTCAAAATGTATTTAGGATTTTCAAACTCCAAATTGCTTTAAAGTAACAACATATACAATCATTAGTGAAAAACGTAGGCTTGCATAACCGCAGACTAACTGCTATGACGGGTCTGGACCGCTGCTGAAAAGCATTAATACCAAGAGAAAATTAAAAATACAGGAACATTGTTCTTTGGTACGAGCCCTTTAAGCACGTATCTGTTGGTACTGGTGCAGCTTGCATGAGGCCCAATGAGCCCAAATATACACCCATCGAGCTGCTAGTTTTGATGTGGGGGTGTAGTTTTTAAAAAAAGACTAGAATACAGAAAAGGAACCTCTGAAAGCTAGACTTGAGATCCCTACTGTATGTGATGTGAATTTAGTGAGGACTGATCTAGATAAATGGGACTCACCATTTGGCATGGAGGAGGAGAGAGTATGATGAAGTGGAAGACTCAACGGAGACCAAGAAGTTTCCTACAGACGGCAAGTTGAGGGATGAAGAGAGAAAAGGTCAAGCCAGCTGTCACCATGTGATGTATGTGACATGAGATTAACCCCATAATGTCTGAACACGCAGCGATCTCTGCCAGATTAAAAACTGATCTTACTATGAAGTTGTCATATTATTGGGGGTTCATTTCACATGAACACATTTTTGTTACCCGACACATGAATGTTACTGGTTACATTGCAGATTGAAGTGTGAAGGAGATCGGAGGTTCTCGAGATATTTGTTACTTTGTGTATGAAGTGTGCCGTCATATTGTTACAGGAGTACCTGAGTCTATATCCCATTGATGAAATGGCTCTGGCCCCGGACCCCGATGTCCCTACACGGCTTCCACCTGTGGCCTACAACCCCTGGATGGACGTGAGGAGGAGAGACGATGTCCAGAAGCTCAACATCAGCTTCCCCTACGGGCCGATTCCTAAAGACTTTCAGGTACTTTCAAGACGTGTACAACTTTTCTGTGCTGCTACTACTCCCTAAAAAAAAAAATAAAAAAAAATCCCACACTTGTGTTCTTCATGTCTTCCAGCTGCGTATCCGTCAGCACTACTACGCTGCCGTGTCCTACATGGACGCTCAAGTTGGGCGGCTGCTCGGCGCTCTTGATGCTCTGGGGCTGTCTGACAGCACTGTGGTGGTGTTCACCTCCGATCACGGTTAGTGGACTAAGATCGATCGCTCTCCAAATATCTAGTGAAATGATTAACTCATCAGATATCAGCCTCTCGGTGCACATTATTTAAGAAGTAGTGCTAAATCTTCCAGATGTGTAATGAATATTGCAGACATGTGGCAGTTCTGCTCGTCGGTGCCACCAGAGGGCAGTGTGGTTACAGCATATTGTTCCGTTACCTCCTCCTACAAATCTAGATGTAAACTAAAGACCAGCTCTTTCTTGCACTACCTCCTGTTTTCTTAAACTTTCTGACTTAGAAACTCTTCTTCTTGTAATGTCTCCTTCAGTGGAGGACACCGGAGTGAATCCTTTCCTGTGCTGATTTATAACCAGTAAAGCTCAATCAAAAGCCTTTGTTTTCAAATGCTAGATGACTGCGAGTCTGTTTCTAAAGTGTTTTTATGCCGTAGATTCACAGCTTTCGTTGGGTTCATTCCTCCCGTCTGCCTCGGGTCTTTTTGAACTAACGTCTTCTCTAATCTTTTTGTGTGCCTCTTGTTGCAGGGTGGTCATTAGGAGAACACGGCGAGTGGGCTAAATATTCAAATTTTGATGTTTCAACACGCGTCCCCCTCATCTTCTACGTTCCTGGGCTCACCAGCCACCGCGTTTCGTGGCGAGAGTCTACCTTTCCCTTTATTGATGTCTTCATGCAGCCACAGCGCAGCTTCAAGAGTAAGGCCCCGTCACTGACAACAACTTACTATTGATTAACATGTACAATCCCTTCATTTAAAAGCACCATGTACATCAAGACACCAAAGGGAGCTCAACTTTGACTTCACATTTCTGGTCCTCATTCCTCATATGAAAGCTGTATGATTATGCCAACCTGACTTAAATGAAGTGTGATTTACACGGAGAGCTCCCGAAAGTATTTAGACGAGGATACACTTTGATATTTTTACTTCAAGTGCAACGATGATGAAATTTAAGAGCCGGCGTCTGGTACATTGTGGAGGATATCTTGGCTAATTTGCCGTCAGTGGGTATGTAAGACTCTCTCTAATTTGCTGACATCTCGCTCTCGCGCTCTCTTTTTCTCCAGATGACAGAGTTATCAGAAACGTGGTGGAGCTGGTGGATGTTTTTCCCACCGTCTCCTACCTGGCTGGCCTCAAAGCACCTGCATCGTGTCCCGTCATTTCTTTCCAGGTATGAATGGATGAAAATGAATGCGCTCAATGAATCTGGTAGTTTTCTCTTATTTAAGCTATGCACTGAAAGCTGTGGGTGTTGTCTCAACCACAGTGGTGAAGGTAAATCTCTTTACATTTTTTATTCAGAGTTGAACATATCAGGAAATTCTGACAGCTACAATATCTTCCACTTAATGAAACATATCGCATACGTCCTCTATTTGCTGACAACATGGCCACAAAGCCACCATCGCTGACCGTTGAACTAAAATCTAAATGTAATCCAATACAAACATTAATAGGATAAATTCAGCTCATTTAAAACGGGACCTTCAAGGCATTTATTTGCTTTCCCTTAACAAACTGCTATAAATATGAGCCATAACATGAAGCTATGGAGGTATTCTGTAGATCTGCATCAGGTGTGACTATAATAGTGAAGGAAATGGCCTCTGAATAATGTCATGAGCATGTAAATGCTGTGATTTCAGTGCCTCACAGAGCATCTATTGTAACATGGCTGCAGGCCCTCGGTCTTACTTATTTAAATCTCAGACTAAAGTGGGATTCCAAATCGAGCTCAGAATGTCCTTCAGTCTGTAACTCTGACGCCGCTTGTTGAACTTCTGTGATCCTTCTGGTCTTTAGCTGAAACCACGGTTTCCTGTCGTGTCGAGCTCCTACTTCACATTTTCCACAAGTTGCAGCACAAGAACCGAACAGAAAACCTTCAGGCGCCTTCTGTGCAGTCAGTTCAACTGGAGCGCGCATCAACATTGCCAAACAAAGTTAATGGAAGTAAACACTCTGTAAACATGCCCGATGTGACGCAATGGACTCTGACGTTTACGACCTGACATTAACCCTTCACTGTGCCCGCTTGCTTTCAGGAAGAGTTGTGTACAGAAGGAGTCGACCGGGCCCACACCTTCCATCGCCGAGAACGACGAAGGAATGGAGAAGCCATATCTTTTAGCCAGTACCCTCGACCTGCTGCTACTCCTCAGGTACCAGATGCGAGTGTTCAGAAAAGCAAATGAAAAAAAGCTTCCATGAGCTGTCTAAAGATCGCTGTGGAGCTGCCCGCCACGAGTGCCACGTCTTTAGAACGAACGCGTCCCGGCGAGCGCTGCAGCTGCTGCAGGTTCATCTCTGCACTGAGGAGTCTGGCAGCCTGACATCAGCTCATCGGCCGCCTCGCAGGACCAGTTGGCAGCTCTGGATCTGACGGCACTGCAGAAAGGGTTTCTAAGATGCGTTTGTAGTTCAATGCTCTTTTTTTTAAATTTCTTTAGGTGAACTCTGACCTCCCCGACCTTAAAGACATAAAGATCATGGGTTACTCTCTGCGCTGCTGGGACTATAGATACACTCTGTGGCTGGGGTTCAACCCTCAAACATTTCAGGTGTGTGTGTGTGTGTCACATATCCGTCTATTACTCTCCTCCGTGTGACTGATCCGTCCATCGTTGTCTGGCTCAATATGTTGGAGACATTTTCCGTGACAGCAGCAGATTATTTGTCGATCATCCATCTGCCTCTCTGTCTAGGTGAACGTGTCGGATGTCCACGCTGGGGAGCTGTACATGTTGGAAGGTGACCCTGGTCAGGACCAGAACATCTACAGCGAGTCCGACCACAGTGTGATGATGGCAAAGATGGCAGGCCTGCCTCGGGTTGGTTTCAATTCCTTTTTATTTAGAAATACTCTGCACTTCATGTATTCCTTCATTGTGCTGACTTGTTTGGTGACTTGTGCTGTTGGTCCAGACTGTGGGTGTGCAGATGAGAATGAGGCTGCAGCTCCTCTACCTCTCAGCAGGGAGGAAGACCAGCGGAGGGAGGGAATAAAACCGCAACAGATGGACGGATGGAGACGAGTACAAAGGGAAGATGGATGGATGAAAAACTCTAGAAAGGGAGGATGCCTTGAATATTTCTTCTACTATAATGCCTACTTGATTTAGCATTACATGACGTCACTATTAATCTTTCAGGCTCAGTCCTTCAGGCTGATGTTCCTTGTGAAGAACTCATTGGCAGGCAGATCTGTGTTCAACACACCAGCAGAGTGAATAAGAAAGCACTTTTTTTTTTTTTTTCTTTGACATGGAGAAACTTTCATATATGCTCAGATATTTCTGATTGGTTGATCTTACTGCTGCTAAAACCAACGTCCAGTGTTTTCATTGTCATCCAACTTGCTGCACCCGGGCAGAAAGATCCATACTGTACAGAGGGGGGGGTGGATTACGGTCTTTATACTAAGCTTATTGGCAGCTGCCTCATTTTAGCGTAGAGAATACAAAATCAAACGGCATCCTTAAACTATTCCTTTGAAAAACACTGACGCCTGAGCAGCTGACCCAAGAAACCTTTTTTCAGACAACTAACTAACCAACCAACTAACCCAGAAGCATGAACTCGTGACGGACTCGTCTGATTGGCCGTGACAGCGATTACGTCACATTTCACATGCTATCTTGCAAAGTGATGTCATCCGAAGGAATATTAAGGAAACCTGAAGAATGATCCCTCTTTCATAAATGGGGACCCCAGCTTCCCTCTGCGTTCTCTCGGCCGTCCGTCTGCCTCAGGGTGTCGTCTCTCCATGTTGAACAGCTAACAGGGACTCGCACAGTTTTGCACTGTAGTGTTAAACAATATGACGTTTCTATTTGCACTCCATGTCACTCGCAGCTATTTGCCTCCCTCCTTGTAAACAGTCGGTTCAGATCAATTTGCGGCCCCAGAATGAAGTGAGTAAAAGCCACCCACAATAATTGGATGCAAATGAAACGGACTGGAGCTTCGTCGTATTGCTGTTCCAATGCATGCGCTGTGGCAATTTTCAGAGAAAGCAATTTCAGCCTGAATTTCAGGTCCAACAATGAATTGCAGGGTTTCGGTCTGTCGACTTTCATTATAGGCTACGCTGGCTTCATGTTAATGGGATGCAGATGATTCATGTAATCAGCATGGATCGTATGTCAGGCGAAGTCTTATTGAATTGGCTCACATTTTCCTTTAAAGAATAAAAGGTCGACCTGATTGCATTTGTGACCGTTGTCTCTGTGGCGTCGGTGGTTTGTGGCGACCCTGCGTCCTTTAGCAGCGGATGGAAGCAGTGATGCAGACTGTCCGTACAGACCGATACCGACGGAAAGATGAGCTGATCCTCTACTTTGGTTGCGTCAGAGCAGCTCTGAGTCTGATCTCCAGCTTTCTGAAGGGAAAATAAAAAATACATGCTACAGAAATAATTCAAATGTGTAGCTTGGCAAGGACATGCTGTACATATATTTATGTCTGATTCGATAAGTTTGTTTAAAAAAAATAAAATATCTTTGCAGCAAATGTTGAGGTGTTTTTTTTTTTTTTTTTTTTTTTTTTTTTTTTTTTTTTGTTTTAGTAACTAGTGTCTGTATTCATGTTTGTCGTGCAGAAACCAAGCTCACTCTGCAGCCTGTCCACACGGACAGCTCAGCGCTCTGTTGGGATGTGTATTGTGCCCACAGCACACGTGTAGCGCTGCAGAGGACCCCAGGGACCGCTCCTGTCTCTTCTGTTCTCTCTTCTGGAGCACCGACTGCTTTGCTAACTCCAAACTGAGCTTTTCCTAATTTGTGCACGACTCCACTGAGTCAATCCGTCCGGGCAACGCGGCTAAAAGCTTTGTAATTGCATTTTGAAATGTAGTATGAATTCAGTCTCATGCCTTTTGAGTTTTTCACCGTTTTCAATTTCTGGGCAATCATGCAGAGCGTGTGTGGAGCTCTGCTTGAAGTGAAGTCTGGATGCTACAAATCAAAAGCCTGAACTTTCCCAGAGACCAGGGAAACACTTCACATCTCTCCCCTGCTAGTTTTTACCTCTCGTAGTCCTTTCTCTTCTCATTCCATCTACCGCACACAATATTCTACCTCGTGGGTTGTGCTTGTATTTTCATTATGAGCCATTTGTTTAATGGTGTGAGAAATACTTATTTTTAAAACCACTTTTTTTTTTTTTTTTTTGGCTACTGGAAACAAACTGTCGACACAACACTGACATGTCACCCTTTAAAGGTACTCTGTGGCATTCTCCACCACTAGTAGCTCTATAGAGCAATGTGTTTGTTATGTATTCTGCACCAGGACATTGACGTACACATTACTGCCTCCAGTTTCATATTCTGCAAATATTCAGACTCTTAGAAACCAAGGCAAAGAAGTAAACATGGACGTAAACGGTGCACGCTTTAAAATGTACATAAATCTGCATTCCACAAGTTTGTTGGACCTCAAAGATACACATGATGAATTTCCTCCAGCCCTTTGGCATAGCAGACTGTCCCTGTTTACACACCCAGCACAGTTCTTTCTCTACACCAGCAGAGCAGCGTTGGCATTCATTTCTGGTCACCGGATGAATGCAAGTCAAGGGTTTTCTCTCCTTTTTTAGCTCCATTTTGGACTCTCTCAGCTACTTCATGCTCCATCAGCTAGACGCTAATGTTGTCTGCTGTTTGTTGGCTTTATCAGAGTTGCATGGTCGTGTGTTTTTTTTTTTTTTTTTTTCATAATGCAGGTCCGAGTAAGTGCAGCTGTAGCTCTCCTCCTGCCTGTATTCACATCGGCCCATATTTCAGCCTCGGTGGTTTTATCAGATCAATATTCATCATCACAAGCGGTGATCTCTGACCGCTATCAAATTGATCTAATGGCAATTACGTTAGTGTTTACCTGCTGTGCCTCTGCTGCTGCCCTTTCTTCTTCTCACTCCATCTTACCTGCTGCGTTCCTCCGATCCACTCCGTCTTTGTCTCACTCTCATCGTCTGTCATGTTTCATACGCTGGTAATCGCATTACAGCTATGGGCTCACATTCTGGCAGGTCACACTGCCTTTCTGTTAACATCGCCGACATACACAATTACTTTAGAGAGAGGGAGTGTGTGTGTGGAAAACCGCTTAGCTCAGCTGTATGGCTCGGGTTCGTCTCAAGGGGGTGTTTACTGTGTGCATGAATCCAGGAATGGTAAACAAACTAGTCTACACAGGGAGGCAGACAATCAGGAAATGAGAAAGACCCTCTGCCTCCCAAGGACTTGAAGTGGTTTCAGAGTGTTTCTCAGAGGAGCTGTTTTTCACAAGAAATTCCCCTCAACAGCCAAATTAATTTAGTAGACTCTGCTGTCTCCTTCTTTTGAAGCTACTAAGCTGCTTACTGTATTTTATCTGGCTGGTTTTTGCATCATACTAGACTTATTGTAGAATATTATAGTAGGCCGTAGCTGGTAGTTCAGTGTGGCCGTGTTCAGCAGCGAGTCTCCGTCTGCTGTTTGGTGCTGAGCAGGTGGGTTTGTCAGAGCTTTATTTTGCTGAAAACAGCTCCCTGCTGCGGTTCGAATTATCATTCTTAGTCTATAGAGTTCGGTGACCTCACTGAAGTCCCAGCATAGCAGTGGTCTAATCGGCCTTAGTGATTGAAATACCTGTATAGGTGTGCACAGAGACTTAAATCCAACTTAACGTGCCTCGAGCGACACTTGGGCAGTCTGACGTGTGTTTTGACCCCTGACGGTAGGAACAGTGGATACCCAGTAGGCCTATTATAACATGACATCACCTTTACGAGGAGGATGTTGCGTCTCTGCAGTGAGCCGGTATGTTTTTATCTCTTCAATCACGCCAGAGCTTCTCTGCTGCACCGTCTGTACTGTATATCTCCAGAGCACGTGGAGCGTCAAGGAAGCAGCCAATTAGAGAGCATGTGACTGGCTGCCAATGTGAAGCCGGTTTAATCGAGTCATTCAATTAGAGCCGACGAGCTCATCCCTCGTTAGCTAGGACCTCTGGAGCTGTGAACCGCAGAGCTGAGTAGGAAGCCTCCTGTTTGGACAAAATCACTTTTGTCGTGGTTAGCGCGGTTGCTTCTTCGGGGGTCGAACCTGCCGGCCGGCCTGCTATTGGCCTCTTTCTGCTTGGAGGCTGCATGCTCTCCCCTTGCCTGTGTGGGCTTTCCCAGAGTCCAAAGACATGCAAGTGTGCTTAATTGGCGCTTCTAAATTGCCTCTTGTTGTGAACGGTGGGTTGTCGTCTCTGTGACATTCTGACGAGCGATCCAGGGTGTACCCCGCCTCTCACTCAATGACTGCTGGGATGGGCTCTCGTCTCCCCCCCCCCCCCCCCCCCCCCCCCCCCCCCCCCCCCACACCGGGGCCCCGCTCACGTGTGTCGCTTTTTCTCTTTTGCT